AGGCTCAATCCCAGGACCCTGGGATCGTGATGGGAGCCGAAGGCAGATGCTAAACTGAGCCACCCAGGTGCCCCAAAATCAGAATTCTTTATCCTGGTTTCTAATAGGATACTCCACATATTCCTGTTGTTTAATAAATTCTCATCTCTTCCGGCACTCAGTAATCTACATGTTGGAGCTCCTTAACTGATCACCAATATTTTATTTAGAAAATATTAAAATTAAGAAAATAGATTCTGCTAAAAAAGAAAATGTAAGGATATTGTCTTTTTTTCCTCCATCCCAAGTTATACATATTTAGTTTTTCTTATTTTCCATTCTTTCCTTTCATATTTTTATTGTTTTGCTTTTTCTCCAGCTTTTGGTCTTGTGTTAAGCATCATTTTGACAGTAGCCTGCCAGGTGAAGGAATGACTATCCCAGTCATCAAATCAACAGAATTGTGTGAGAAGGGGAGGAGTCTTCTCTCCCTAAGCTTTTCCATAAAAGCAATGTGCAGGATTTTCAGTGTAAAGTATAAACTAATTGCATCGTATTTTGTAATTTTTACTGTATTATTCTTATTTTTAAAAACCCGTTATTACTAAAAATTTAGTAATTAAAGAAAAATCTAAAGGAAAAAACATAAGTCCTTCATGTAATACAGTTGACCATGGTGCAGGTCTACTTATATATGGATTTCTTTTTATAAATACCATAGAGCACTGTAAATATATTTTCTCTTCCTTAAAATCCTTATGATTTTCTTTTTTTTTTTTAAAGATTTCATTTATTTGACAGAGAGAGACACAGCGAGAGAGGGAACACAAGCAGGGGGAGTGGGAGAGGGAGAAGCAGGCTTCCCACTGAGCAGGGAACCCGATGCGGGGCTCGATCCCAGGACCCCGGGATCATGACCTGAGCCGAAGGCAGACGCTTAACGACTGAGCCACCCAGGTGCCCCAATCCTTACGATTTTCTTATTAACATCTTCTTTTCTCTAGTTTACTTTGTTGTAGGAATACAGTATATAATACATATAACATACAACATATTTGTTAATTGACTTTCTGTTACAGGTAAGGCTTCCAGTCAGTAGGCTTTTAGTAGTTAAGTTTTGGGGGAGCTTAAGTTATATATAAATTTTTTACTGTGTGGGTGATCAGCACCCCTCAACCCTGTGTTGTTCAGGGATCAACTATATATATTCTTTAAGTCTATTCCTCATGCCTATGTACATATTTTTCTTTCAAATTGGATACTTTCCATAGTATTTCATAATTTGTATTTTCATATCAGTGTATTTTGAACATCTTTATATAATTAAGCAATCTCATAAATAATATTTTAAATAGTTGAATAGCTTTTATATATACATATGTTATAACTGGGTTAATCAAACAACATTTAGACTATTGCCATTTTGTTTGCTATAACTCTTTGATGATCATCATTATAGCTACACATATCCATATGATATAACATATTTCTTAACGAGCATGGTAGATGTGAATTTCAACCCCTAAATTGAAGTGTACTAGAGATATAACCTTCTATTGTCTATAATTCAACATAATTTCTGATTCTGAGCCCCCGTTCTAGTAGGGTCAGTTGGGGAAGGGGTGTAGAGATAGTTGTACTTAACATCAGTCTTCCATGAGCTTTCCTCTGCTTTTCCCCAAATTTGTACCACAGCTCTAGAATCTTACACCCTAACAAGTGTGTGTGTGTGCACATGCGTGTGTGTGTGTGTGTGTGTGTGATGTCCCTTACCCCTGCCAGCCGGAGAACATTTCAGTTTTTTCAGTTTGGAGAAAATTCTTCCCATTTTTTTGTTTCTTCAAAACCCTGTTTAGATCTAGAAATTCCTTTCCTCTAAAGGTTTAGGCCTTTGGAAAACAAAAGCCAGAAAGACTTGTAGACTCCTCTGTTTTCTGCCTTGCACTGTGCCTCCCCTGGGGTAATTAACACAGAGCCTACTTTCTGGTTGAATGGGGAGAAATGGAAAGAGAGACATAGAGATAAAAGATTAATATATCAAAATATTATCCCACCACTTAACATATCTCCTTAAGGCAGATGAATTCCCAAGAGCTAATTGGAGGTCAGAGGGAATACAATTCCATTTAAGGATCAAACACCTCTATAAAATGCACATACAATCCCATCTTTCTTTTCCTAGTTGAACTTCTGCCTCCCCAAAATATCAGGAAAAATGTTACACTTACAAAGGAGAAGAAAAAGTGAAATGAGCAAATCATGTATCTGAAATTCTATTAGAACTCTAGCAGATGAAACCATAGAGAGATGAATGAAACCAATCGATGATGGAAGGCCAATGGAAGCCCTGAACCTAACTGGATATAATTCAGAGTTCTTTTATCCATAGCATTTTGTGATTTGAATTATTTTCCTCTAATCATCACATATTTCAGTTGAGCCCCCTGTAACATCCCTTTGCCATTCTATGATTTTAGGACTGTGGCTCAGTCACTCTGACTTTGAAATCCCATTTTGGAGGGAAAAAGCTGGTAAAGGGGAGGTGCTGCCTGGAGTACCATTCTATTTCTGACCTTCCCTTTGTTCTTTGATTCCTTTGTTCTAAGCCTGTTTAAAGGTAGCATCTTGGGGCGCCTGGCTGGCTCAGTGGGTAGAGCATGCCGCTCTCGATCTTGGGGTTGTGAGTTTGAGCCCCACACTGGGGGTAGAGTTTACTTAAAAACATTTTTTTAAAAAGGTAACATCTTGATAATGTAATATTTACTCATAGAATTGTGAGGATTAAAGGAAAAATGTATTTCAAGAACCTACTGTAACATGGCATTTGGCATAATAAATGGTAGCTATTAAAATATGTGAAAAGTACTTTGTATACTTGTAAAGTACTTTGCAAATATTAGTTATTTTTACTCTCTTGGCACAAATTGAGAATAGCAGTCTATTTAGAAACAAATTATAAATTTGGTTTTGTCTAAATCTCAAGTTATCTTTTAAAATGTTAAATAACTATTGCAGTAGATGGAACTCCTAGCCCACTATAATTCATGAGCAGAGAATCATTTGTGTCTACCTATTTATATAAGTGCTGGCACTTGTTTAAAATAATAATAAATCAGAGATTCTCACAAAGTAGCAATCAAGCAACTGGCCTTGTAACACATGTGTACTTTTATAAACCATGTCCCACGTCTTCAAATGGTGACAGCTTATAGAAGCAACTAAAAGTTGCTTTCACTCAGGAAAGCCCACCTTTGTAAGAGTGAAAGCTCAAACTGACTAATCCAGAGTCAACTGATCCCATACCTTCAGGGTCAGCTCTGATGTCACCAACAACCTTCATGTTGGGAAAACACCCAGAGGAGGTGGCGCCAATGGAATTTACAAAACAGTTAGCTAGCTATGAATTTAAGCTTACTGATGAGTCCACCTTTCTCCCAGATCTCTGGAGTACAGTGTTAATGACAGAAAAATCAGTTTTAAAACATTTAAAACAATGGGATCAATCTCCAGTTAAATTATTCCTCCTTCATCAAGCAATATTCTTGGAGTGCCCACAGAGTACCTGGAAAGGTATAAGGACCAACATCTCACTGGGATTCCAATAAGGTTGACAGACCAGATTTGACAGGCTGACATTTACACACTAATTTCTGGAACTCAAGAGATAAATGTGTTACAAATGAGATGAAATAATACCCGACTTTTGAAACTGGTGGAGGAAAAAAAGAAAAACAAAAAAAAACAGTGTATGGTAAAAACAAAAATATGTTATATTCTTATTTATTTTTAGGGAATTATTTCCTCCTGATTGCTATTGGATTATGGAAATACCAATAACCTATGTTCTCAAAACCAGGTCAGGTTCTAAAATAACAACATGAATGTATGTCAGTAAGCTAAGAGGGCAAGGTCTTTGGCTCACCTATATAAAACTGACCATATTGAGGGCTGACCTTGTGAATAAAATATCTTGTCTAGGACCATTCCAGACTCTTCCAATTCTTAATACTCTTTGAACTTGAAGCCGTAACCCCTTGAATATCATTGTTTCGTGTCATCAGATTATCGCTTTTCGGAGAGCATTTAAGAAGTTCATAGTCCAAAGGAACATTCCTAGGCAATTTAGTGTCTGGGCGTACCCTCTATGGCCTTTCTTCTAATAGACACTGAGACAATTTCTTGTAAATAATAAAACACCTCTGGCCACTTAAATGCAAAAGCTAATCAGATTCCTGCTTCCCATGGCTTATGTGATCATCAGAAAGCAGTTCAATAAATAATTCCTTCTCCACAAAAGTGCCTCCGTATTTTCCTCCCAATGTTCAACTCCCCTCTCTTGAAACATGGAAT